AACTTCGTGACCTGGGGGTGCTGACCTGACCTTGACCTGAGGTCAACACCCCAAGTTGACCTGACCCGGACAAAAAGTATATCATTCGACGCGCCTGAGCGAGACGAACACGATGCTGCCAAAATCGGCGCTCTGCGGCCGTTTTTTGCGAAGTTATTCACCAAAAACTGAACCGTACCTTGGGGCACTTGACCTGACCTCAGAGGTCACCGGTTGACCTAGGACCTTAAAATCGGGTACCAATCTCTGCGTCTCGTAACGGCGCACACGCTCGTTTTTTCCGCGACGCGCCAGCTCCACCAGGGGCGAAACGGCGAGGGGGGGGTCGTACCCGCCCCCCCCCCTCGGCCGGCGCGTATGTAGAAAACCAATAGGTCCGGCGAGGGTTAAAGATTAACCCGCGACCTGGTGGGGGGGGGGGCTATTTTTGCCCCCCCCTCCAGACTTTTCGATATATCTCCAGAACCGCTGTGCCGATCGTCACCAAACTCTCAGTACCCTCCCGGACATCAATTTTACACATTGTGACCAAAATTTTTTCCAAAAGCTATGATAGGTTCGCCGGAAATGACGTCAGAGTGACGTCATGTTCTGCCGTTTTTGACCCAAAAAAGGGTTTCGCGGGAAGAGCTGTCAGGCCTATAGCTTTGCAAATACAGAAAAATGATAAGACATAAAAGCTGTAGAATTGACAGGGCTAGAAAACTGCCCAGCCAGCAATTCGGTTGGGGAAAGTGCGGGGACAGTGTTGGGGAAAGCTTGGGGAGAACGTACAATTCCCCTATCGGATCGGGGAACGGTCCGTGTTCCCCATCCCTTCCCTGACTGTATCGGTAATATGTTCAAAAGACATGGGGAAATCACACAGATCCCCGTACGGGGAAAGAGCAGCATTCCCCAATCAAACCCCACTGTTGGGGTTCGGTCGGGTAAAAGATCAGATTCCCCGTACGGGGAAGGGTGCGTTATCCCCGACCCATTTTCAAGAACAGTTTGATTGGGGAAAAGTAGGGGAACTGTTTAAATTCCCCGCTCGGGATTTTACACTTAATCCCCAGACGAATCCCAACCGCCAGTAGGACGTCTTGAGATCGACTTCCAGCATGTAATAACAAGTATTCAATAGAGAAAAATTGCATCTTGGGAATGCTAAAAACAGTCTTAGGAGCAGTTCTAGAGCTATATGCTCATGCATCGATTGAAGGGAGATATAATAAATAAAAATATAACAATATAACGATTTTTTATAATCGTTTTCATGACAGGTGATCTGGCGAATGCATCAAACAGTGACCAAATTTGCACCAAATCTCTTTTTCATATCTTCATATCATATACCTATTTATTTCAATGTTTTAATCGAAAATAATGTCTGATAATTTGATCAAATCGGCACCGTATCTGGACCAAATGTCTACCAACTGTGTACCAGTTACCTATCATGAAAACGGTTATTCGCAGACATTTGATTGTAGACATTTGATCGATGTAATTTTCGACCTAAAAGAGAGGAAAAGCCGCACTGAAAACAATTTAACCCAAGGCCGGCGAGTAAACCGGTGTTTCGCGGGTACCCCTATCCGCAACCATTTTTAACCACCTTCCCAAGAGTACAGTAAGGTCCGATTGCAGTGTAGTCGTCCCTGCTCTCAGCGGACATGTTCGCTGACAGCGGTTATATCCGCTCAGAGCAAGTACGACTACACCGCAATGGGACCTACTAGCCCTACTCCTGGGAGGGTGGTTAAAAATGGTTGTGGATAGGGGTACCCGTGAAACACCGGTTTACTCGCCGGCCTTGGGTTAAATTGTTTTCAGGGCGTCTTGGTTTACGAGGCCTGCTAAGCTGTGAGGATGAGGACACGCATACGCCATTACTTTGAACGAACGTTGGTGCCCTTCTTTCATGAGGTAAAAACAACTTTGACAACTTTCAGGATCTATGTTTCTTCTCGCACTGCTGTGGCATAAACATTACATTTTCTTTCTTCTGTCATCACTTATCGCATTGAAATTACAAAAGCATCAAAATTCAAACAACACACTGCTTACGACTTAGAAGTGTCGCCTCAACGCAGCGAGGGGAGGGGAGGGAGGGGTAGCAACGGCCGGCCGCCGTCGGTTCCGTCCGCACATCTGGTTGGGGGCGTCTCCTGTCGCCATCTGTCATCGTGAATGGGGCCGTGCCGACGCGTCAGACGGGACGAAAGGGGAAGTCGGTCCAGAGTCACTGCGCCGCGCGGTTGTGTGAGCAAGCCGTTGGCTAGGTACCGCTCCAGGTCAGACCATGGTTGGCACTGAAGAGTGCGGCGACACTGCAGAGCTGTGAACGAAGACGGTGAACGGCGAGATGTGGTGACCGCTTGACTGACCTGTGCCCAAAGTCGTGATCTACCGCTGGGGTCAGTGCGTGAGAAGCTGGACTCGGCACCAACGGAGGACGCAGCTCGACGAGGAATATATGCTGTGTTGGTAATGAACTAAAGCACTTAATTGTAACGAATCCATGATAGATATAAAATAGCGATGATACTAACCAGGGGCGGCGCCACGGGTTTTCGATAGGGGGGGACGGGGACCGAAAATCGAAAATCCCAAAAGTAGATACTGATCGTGTATGCAAAAAAAAAAAAAAAACGAGGCACGTAACGCCGCGAAACTTGGCAAGGCCCAAAACACATCGAATGGTGCATCCCGTTTCCAAACTTATCCTAGGACACCTAAGATCGATCACCTTTTCAAGCATACTTGCCTCTAAATCAAAATTTGCAGTCTTGCCAACTCAAAGCTGGTTTCCTACAAGCTGCGAATTGCTTAGGTATGAGTAGCAGTGCCAGCTATTCTTACGTTTCGTACTTTCAAATTTTCAATCTTACGTCTGGTCAGCTTCAGGGCTTCACCATCATATAGTCATGGAGGGAAAGTGGGAATGTCTTCTGCTCTGACAAGTGCGCCAAAACTGCAATATAATTTCAGAATCATGACATCACCACCTGATCCATATGCAACGGGCAGGGTGCAGCTAATGGCTAGCCGTCAGTGGTCATGTCATCGGTGGTCACTCAAAAGGCCATGCTAGGTCATGGAAGGTCACCAGCCGTTATTTGATCACACTTTCTGATGGATTTTACTTGCCAAGAGCTTCGCGGGAAAAACGAGCGCATGCACCGTTGAAAAAAATTGAGTGAAAGGGTCTCAGCAAGGCCCTAAATACAGGTCCGTCGACTAAATACGGGTCTCAGGTCCGGCGACCTCTGCAGGTGAAATGCCCCAGGGTAGGATTCCGGTGCTTGTTGATTAACTTCGTCAAAAATGGCAGTAGAGCTGTGATGTCGGCACCATTGTGTTCTCATGATCGAGCTGGCACGACCTGCATCGTTCTCATATTCACCCTCCAATCGTAACAACTACAGCAGGGATTGGCAAATGGCGGGGCACCCCCTTTGGGAGGTAATGAAGGTCTCTGGAAACCTCAGCCCACATCTCTTTAGCATTAGTGGCTCTCCTTATGGAACAGGTTTCTTGACTGGTCTGTTTCACCCCAGAATTCAAAGACTAGTCAAGGTAAAACCGAGCGCACCACAGTGAGCACAATTTGATAAGCTGGTGTATCTCAATTTTCATGTAGAACCTTTCACGTACCACGGACCTAAAACCCTTTCGTGCACTCATGCAAAAGCAACTGCCATGTTTCAACAGCTGGTAATGGCATTTTCACAGCCGCTGACTAAGAAGGGGAGGGATGGGGGCTCGATTAGACCCCCAGCCGTTCGGCCGCCGACCCAACTTAGTTTTGCAGAAAAAAACGAGTGCTATCGAACCCCTTGACAGTTGACGAGAGGGAGCCGATGCTATATCCAATTATAAGGTCTTGGGCTACTGCGTGCTTTTTTGGTCCTGCCTGTGATCTATCCGAACACTTCTCCCCACAAGTGCTGGGGTTAAATGGCATAGATTTCAAATGGTTCCTGTGGTAGAACTGCCATGCTTGAATTTGACTAATTAGGAATGGAAAATTTTCATATAGTAACGGAAATCTATGGAATTTCAGTGAACTTGGTTTTATCGGCAATGGGGTCTGGCAGTGGGGTGGGGAGGTAATAAGTATTAATACATACTTTACGGTGCGTTCACTGGAGATTAACCGTGCGTTAATTCGAAGGTAGCCGTGCACCAATTTAAATTGGTGCACGCGCGTGCAGTGATGAATTTCTCGACTGAAGTTTTTCGGAAGGGTCATTGACTTTATTCTAAGAATTCCCACAAAAGGCCCATTTAGTGTCATGGATTAAGTTTACTTTTGATTTAAATTCGCACCGTTAAGCATGTATTAATTAGTTTAACACATGGTTTCCGTGCATAAATGGTTTTAACGCACTCGTGGATGGAATGGAGCACTTGTGCGTTAATGCACTCGTTTCACTCGTGCATTAACACACTCGTGCTCCAATCCATCCACGTCGTGCGTTAAAACCATTTACACACGGGAAACCATGTGTTAATATATAATAACCCTGCCTGGCTCCCCAAAAAGGGGGCACGATCCCCGAGGCCCTGCCGATCACCTAATAACTACAGGCATCACAGCTCCACACCTTTTGCAGATGGCCAGGACCCCCTGCGATGCATCCCAACAGCCATCTTTATTCAGAACCTGCCTTGATTAACCAACGATGCATTAAATGCGACGGATAGCTCTATAATGCATTATTATCAACTATTGAACGGGCCTCGCCGATAGGGGGGTACTGTACCCCCCTAACTTTCGATAGCGGGGGACCTGTCCCCCCCGTCCCCCGCGGTGGCGCCGCCCATGATACTAACTCAAATTTATTGTAAAAGACAAAGCTTCCGATACACACAATATCTTGATCACTGTCCAGGGTATGCATAATATGACGTAAAATGACTGAGGTCATCAACCTCCGTCTGAGATTATCCTTAAATTGCCCGGACAATATACTGTCATCAGCCTAATGCTTTGTCTGCTTCTGTTCTAGAGGGACGTCTGCCGGTTACGAACGGAAGGTTTCCGACGGGACTTGGCAGAACCCACAACAGCAGTATGAACCCGGCGTGGACGTAATTGCTCGCATGAGCAACCGAAGAGCGACTTCCAGGCGAAGCTGGTAAGCAGTTTATGGGGGTGGGGGTTAGCTTAGAACTGTTGAACAACCTGTCCTTCACCCAAGTCTAAAGGCTGAGACACACTCTTTCTACAGCCAGAAAATCTCATGCGAGAGCCCATTAATTAAATACATGAAATCACGATTGCATTAACCGCTTACAGGGATGTGCGAACGATTGACGCGATTGTAATAAATACATGTATTTGAATAGGCTCTCGCATTCCATTTTTTTTTTTTTGTCTTCGGAAAGAGCCTGTTTCAGCAGCTCTACTAGACAGCTCTGCTTGTGAAAGGGACTTCATTGTTATCTTGATAAACTAGCAACCGATTTTAATTGTCAAACGGCGTTCATTTATCTGTCAAGTGCTTTCGCGAGGAACTTCGTAAGGCGCAATATAGACGTAAAACATGTATTACCTAATGACTTTCCTGGAATGAGAAATGTTTAGAAGTACAAATTTAATTATTGAATTTTTATTTACTATTCAAAGTATATCACATTCATTTTTTAAGCACATTTCGTGGGAAAAAAAGTTATAAATAAGTGTTATTTCATAAAATGGCATTCAACATGTTTCAGCGTAAGCTGAAGTTTCCATAAAAGGACATTTCATGTTGTAGCTAGCTGTAAAACCTGATTGATATACCTACAAGTGCACATATTTTTGTTTTTGTCCACAGCCGCAGAATGCCTGGAGATGCGCTGGGACATGGATGATAGCAAGGTGGCTCTCAGCGGCAGCTGACCGCTGAGATGTGTCTGAAACAGCCAGAAGAAAGACTCGAGTTGTGGATCCAGGGCACTACTGAACGGAAGGCCGGACCAGCTGTAGGGAGACTACAGAAAAGCCGTCGTTCTCAATCTGCTGAACAGACACCTACTGCAGAGGATCAACTGGGGTTCGACGTGTTAGAACTGGGGTTAGACCGGTTGCCGGTTACCAGTGCTCGTGTTCGTCACCTGTTGTTTGTCACTGCTGCGCTGCTGCTGTAATGTTTGCCACCTGCTAAGCGTTCACAATGTATTTTAAGTGAATAACTTTTTCAGTGTTTGTCTTGATTTGTAACGAGTATATCAATTATCAAGCATGTTAACCTTTCATCAAATGAAGGACTCCACATAAAAATAGTATAGGCTGTGGTGGTACAGACACATACCATGCTTGGCCGACTGTTGTGTATTGATCTAGTCGTTGAAGCGTCCTGAAAGTCTGGAAATAAACAGGCATGACCAAATGGATTGGTTTTAATTATTTTCCTGTGCGGTTTTATCGTTTCCCTATTGCGGGGAAACAAGTGGACAATTTTGTTTGTATGTAAACAAGCATGTTTATACAAATATTTGTATGTTTACAGACAAAATAAATAGTCATTGTCAATTTTAATGGGACCTGATCTGTTTCCCAGTGCGGTTTTTACTGGCTTCTCCGTACGGGGAAAAAAGCAGACAAGGCAGTGGGGCCATTGCCAAGTCGGGGAACGGCCGGGGCTCGCGAGGGGAAAAGGTCTGGGAACGTTAGGGGAAAATCACGGTTTCCCCGATCGGGGAAGGTCTCCAGTAAGCATAAACCCGTATAGCCGGGTGGGGGAATGTGCGGGGCTCGCACAGGATCTTCTTGGGGAAAATGTTCGATAGCCCCGTACGGGGAACCGACCTTAACAACGGGTTTTAACCATAGTCGGCGCGGGGGTAGCCTGGGGGACGTTTGGGGAACGCTTGGGCAATTATACCGTTTCCCCGTACGAATCCCGCACAAAGTTCCCCGTACAAAGTGTCTCAAATCCCAAGCGAACGCTCCGTTTTCCCTAAGAGAACGGTTGGGGTTTCCCCGAGCCTGCCCCAAGCTCGCCATAGGCCTTCCCCGTACGGGGAAAGCTCCGATTTGCTGGCTGGGTGCTATCTCGGATTTTTGATTTTTTTTTTATTTTGACCCCCAAAAATCAAAAAAATATATTTTTTGGATATAAGAGTCAAAAAATCCAAAAAGTTTTTTGAATTTCGCAAAAACCGGAGTATATGTGATAGTCCTTACCGTCTTCCATCCACATACCAAATTTTAGATTGATACTTCTTTTTTTTTGGCGAAGTTATAGCGAAAAAAAACTGTTCAAAATTGATGACGTCAAACTTTAAACTCAATTTTTAGCAATTCTAGACCCCGTAGCGCAAAACAAAGACCACCATTGATGCCCCTGCTAGGCTGCTGATGCCCCTGGGACCTGAAAGGACTGTGGTGCCCCTGACAAGCCTAAAGTGCCCCAACAGGCCCGTGATAGCTCCGACAGGTCCAAGGTGCCCCTGCGTGATGCCGTGATGCCTGCGAAGCCGGTGGTGCCCCTGCGAGGCCGGTGGGGCCCCTGACAGGCCCATGGTGCCCCTGCGAGGCCAGTGGTGCCCCTGCTAGGCCGGTGGTGCCCCTGGCAGGCCTGTGGTGCCCCTGCTAGGCTGCTGGTGCCCCTGGGCCCTGACAGGACTGTGGTGCCCCTGACAGGCCCAAGGTGCCCCTGCAAGGCCGGTGGTGCCCCTGTAAGACCTGTGGTACCCCTGCTAGGCCTCTGGTGCCCCTGACAGGCCCATGGTGCCCCTGCGAGGCCGGTGGTGCCCCTGGCAGGTCTCTGGTGTCCCTGACAGACCTGGGGTGCCCCTGACAAGCCTGTGGGGTCCCTCACAGGCCCGTGGTGCCCTTGCTAAGCCTGTGGTGCCCCGGCCCTGGCGGGCTGGTGGTGCCCCTGCTAGGCCGGTGGTGCCCCTGACAGGCCTGTGGTGCCCCCGGGCACCAAGGGGGGTCATGACCCATGTGGCCCCCCTTGGATCTGCCACTGATACATAATAGCCGTTTTCACGACGGCCATCTGGTACACATTTGGTGCACATCTGGTACAGATCAGGTGCAGATTTGGTCAAATCAGGTTCAGTGTGGCTCTTAGCAGCTATCAGCTAGGGTTGCACTAATTGCTTATATGCCTGCTTTGTCATATTATCAGAGAGCATCATCGAGTAAAACACTGAAATAAATTCATAAAATGAAGATATTTGCTGTAAAAGAAATTAGGTGCAGATTTGGTCAAATCAGGTGCATTCGCCGGATAGCCCGTCGTGAAAACGGCTAATATATTGATTTGTAAAGGCGTTATGGTTTATGCAATATGCAATTGCAGGCGCTTCGTATCCCTCACTTATCCCTCATTGGGGACTCTGGCGGGCTCCTGAGGGCCCACGTCTATCTCTGGGAGACCTAGACGGGCTCCTTTGGGTCCTTTCAGTCCACTATAGCAAAGAGGTCTCCACGCGAGTCCTATGCATCTGAGGGCGTACCCTGACGTATGAGGTACCCAACTGCAGCTCCAATGGTCTCTTACACTGGCGGATCCAGGGAGGGGGCATTTAGTGCCATGCCCCCTTCCCAGAGGCCTAAAGTGGCCCGTTTGCCCCATCCCCCAAACGATAATGAAACAGTTCAATCAGTGCGTGGCCAAGGAGCCGAGTTAGACAGGGGGTGTTTTACCACCTCCCGGCCCGCAAAGGGACCCAAGCACTGACTCGAAGCGGGTTAACTGGTCGACAAAAGCAATGGGAAGTGTTTACAAAGTAATATAAAGGCATGGGTCGGGTGGGCTACCATTTATATATTTTTCTTTTTAGTTAAAAAAAAATATTCATAGTGTCAGGGCTGTGACGAAAAAATGAGTGGCCTAAATCCGATGAGAAAACAGGATTTGGGGGTACCCTAGGTTTGGCTCCTGCATGAGTTACCCCCCCCCCCCAAAAAAAAAAAACGCAAGCCTGGATCCGCCAGTGGAAGAGAGAGAAGAGAGAGAAGAGAGAGAAGAGAGAGAAGAGAGAAGAGAGAGAAGAGAGAGAGAAGAGAGAAGAGAAGAGAGAGAAGAGAGAGAAGAGAGAGAAGAGAGAAGAGAGAAGAGAGAAGAGAGAAGAGAGAAGAGAGAAGAGAGAGAAGAAAGAAGAGAAAAGAGAAAAGAGAGAAGAGAGAAGAGAGAAGAGAGTAGAGAGAAGAGAGAGAAGAGAGAGAAGAGAGAGAGAGAGGGGGCACTGCCGACTTTCGGTCCCATTCTTTCCATGCAACGCCCATAGGGCTAATGTTAAAATGCCCAAATCAAAGGGGGCACGGTGCGCTGGTGCCCCCCCCCCCCCCTCGTTCCGCCGCCTATGGTGCGAAGTACCAAGTCGGGCAGAGTACGTCACTACCGCCATCTGGCCAGTGGGAGGGTACTGCCAGTTCGCCCAACTGTCGCTAGGGCACGCAAGGTATATTGACACTGGGGACAGGGGACCAGCGATAACTGAAACAGTAAACTAAGCCAGTGCAAACAGGACCAGAAAACTGAGCACGTGGACAACTAGACCAAGTAGGTACCTACTACTGAACCAGTGAACACTAAACTAGTGGCAACTGAACCAGCGGACAACCAAATATGACTTCTGAACTAACTAGTAGACAACTGAACAAGTAAACTGAGCCAGTGACATCCATGACCCCTGGTTATGTCTCTGAGGTCATCTCAGGTCACCAATGAGCTCTAACAGTTTTTCTCTAATAACTTTTGATATATGTACCTATCATGTAGATTGTAGCTAGAGCGATGAAAATGCCTTTATAGATGTATTCGGCTCGACGATACGTATCAACCCATAAGCAGCATGACCTTTTCCGGTCAGGTCATGACCTCGACTTGATGTCAAATTTTCAAGCTGACCTTTCAAGGTCAAATGATAGCTTATTCGACGAGTCTCGGCGAGAGGAACACGATGCTGGCAAAATCAATGTCGTGACTCTCTTGAGTGAAAAGCTATTAAAGAAAATCTTTTTTTTTGTAAAAACGGCTATTACTTAAGTTATTGCCCTCTGGAGGCTAAACCGCTGACCTGAGGTCAAAGCTGAAAAACGCTCAGCTCAGAATTTTTTTTACATTAACTTTTGATAGAGACGTGCAAGGGCGATGAAAACATCTCAGATGTGTTCAGCTCGACGATACGGATCAACTGATATGCAACATGACCTTTTCCAGTCTGGTCATGTTGCAAACGGCTATTTTCAGGCGTAAACACGTTTTTTTAGTTTTTGCCGTCTGGAGGCTTAACCTTCCAGGCGGTTGGGGGGGGGGCATTTTTTAGCCTCCTCCTTTATTTTTCTTCGATATATCTCCAGAACCGCTGCGCCGATCGTCACCAAACATTCAGTACCAACCCTCCCGTGAATAGCCTTTACACATGTTGACCAAAATTTTTTCCAGAGGCAATGATAGGTTGGCCGCTAATGACGTCATAGTGACGTCATTTCTGCCATTATCGACCCCAAAAAAAGGTTTCGCGGGAAGAGCTTTCAGGCCTACAGTTTTACAGATACAGAAAAATATTCCGACATAAAAGGTGTAAATTTAACAGGGCTACAAAACTGCTATTTCGGATTTTTGAAGTTGTGGATTTTAACCTACCCCCAAAATGAATATAATAGCCGAAAAATCCAAAAAGTTTTTTTGAGTTTCGAAAAAACGGAATATATGTGATAGGCAATACCGCTTTCTATCCACATACCAAATTTGAGATCGATACCTCTTTTTTTTGGCCAAGTTATAGCGAAAAAAACTTCAAAATTGATGACGTCAAATTTTCAAACTCAATTTTTAGCAATTCTAGACCACGTAACGCAAAACAAAGACCACCATTAGATTTCCAGTGACAAGTTGCATCGAATCAATACCCATTTTATGCAAAAATATCAATTTTGAAGTTTGACCTTTTTTACCTGACCTTGACCTGTCCTTGACCAAAAAGTGACCTAAACCGTACCTGATGGTCAGGGTCTTATAACCAACATGCAACACCATTGAGTTGGAAATGAAAAATTGGCCATAAAACATGCATCGCACAGCCTTAGTAAAGTTGGGCTCATGTGCTGACCCTTGGTGACCTGACCTGTGACCTGACCTGGTATTATCAGTGACCTCTAATAGCAACATATGTGATATGTACTAGGCAACTGACGCCCTATCACTGATTTTCGACAAGATGCGTTTTACTCGATGTTATAACGCATTCCCTAGAAGACCCGTGGACGGTGAAACATTTCATCTTTGACCTGACCTGTGACGTCATCGGTGACCCGAGGTCAATGAAATTTGGTTTCCCCTTCCTAATTCGGCAGGGCTATCGAAGCCGTTTACAGTTTACGGATCCCTCTAGTAGTTTTGGAGATATGGGAGGGGAAATGCCCCCCCCCCCGCGCGGAAGTTGGCCGGGAGGCTCACTGCCCGCCGAGTTAACCCTCG